CCATCTTCCTTCAGTCCCTGCTTCTGAGACCTGCCCTAGTCGGCTCTCAGTATAGATGCCCAGTCTTGCCTGATCACACCTCCCTCAGGGGTCATGAGGCTCCTGCAAGAACCACAGCCAACTTTCACCCCAAATCCCACCGGGGTCTCTCCCACCATGAGGGTAAATGGACAGGAACTAAATAGCCTGTCCAAAGCAGAAACCAGGTTCATTGTCTAGTTAAAAGAGGGGCTTTTGCCTGAGAGAGGTGGCTCACACCTGTCATCCCAACACTTTGGGAGGCCGAGGGCGCGAGGATGGCTTGAGGCCAGGAGTTCAAGACCGGTTTGGGCAACATAGCAAGGCCCCATCTCTTTAAAGAAAGAGAGAAAAAAAAAAAAGGCGGGGAGGAGGGAGACCGGGTCACAGACTCTTGGCTCAAAAGTAAACTTCTGCTACAGCAAAACTTAATAAACGAGTCATGAGTCACTACTTCCCAGAGATCTTCAGGGTCAACTGTGAGTAGCTGATATACTGAGTTTTTTGTTTTTTGGAGACAGTCTCACTCTGTCGCCCAGGCCGGAGTGAAGTGACACAATCTTGGCTCACTGCAACGTCCACCTACCTCCCAGGTTCAAGCAATTCTCATGCCTCAGCCTCCCGAGTAGCTGGAATTACAGGCACATGCCACCAAGCCTGGCTAATTTTTTGTATTTTAGTAGAGATGGGGTTTCAGCCCAGGGTGGTCTCAAACTCCTAAGCTCAGGCAATCTGCCTGCCTCGGCCTCCCAAAGTCCTAGGATTACAGGTGTGAACCACCACTTGCGGCCACTAGTGAGTCTTAAATAGCAATTGACCAAGTGACCACACTGCTACCAAGTCTGCAGTGAGCAGAGTGGCACCACCTGGAGGCTTGTTAGCAATGCAGCCTCCGGCCCCACCCCAGAGCCACTGAATCCATCGGCATTTTAACTCGACCCTCAATGACTTGCACATACATTAAAGTCTGAGCAACTCTGGTCTAAAGCAGAGACTCTTGGCCCAGGCTACACACTGGTCATCTGGAAATCTTTTTTTTGTTTTTTTTTTTTGAGATGGAGTTTTGCTCTTGTTGCCCAGACTGGAGTGCAATTGTGCCATCTTGGCTCACTGCAACCTCTGCCTCCCGAGTTAAGCAATTCTCCTGCCTCTGCCTCCCAAGTAGCTGGGATTACAGGCGTATGTCACCACACCCCATCACACCCGGGTAACTTTGTACTTTTTTAGTCGACAGGGTTTCGCCATTTTGGACAGGCTGGTCTCAAACTCCTGACCTCAAGTGATCCACCCACTTTGGCCTCCCAAAGGGCTAGGATAACAGGCGCTCGGCCTTCTGGAGATCTTTTTTAAAGCTACCCGTCTCCGGTGATTCTGTTTAATTGGTCCGGGTGAGGTTCATGCATTGCTATTTTAAAAAGTTCTCCCTCTGACTCTTAATGTATATCCGGGATTGAGAGCCAGTGGGAAAATGTCACTCCAGCAGGTTTTATCACTGCCAGCATGCTCCTGGGCCACTTACTAGCCTCTGAGCCTTCCTCTCCAGTGAAGTGAGAATAAAAGTGACTGTTGACCAGGCTTGGTGGCTCCCACCTGTAATCCCAGCACTTTGGGAGGCTGAGATGGATCACTTGAGGCCAGGAGTTCAAGACCAGCCTGGGCAACATAGCGAGACCCTGTCTCTACAAAAATCATAAAAAATATTAGCTAGGTGTGGTGGTGCACACCTGTGGTCCCTGCTACTTCGGAGGCTGAGGTGGGAGGATTGCCTGTGCCTGGGAGATCAAGGCTGCAGTGAGCCATAAATGGAGCACAGGAATGCACTCTAGCCTGAGCAAGAGTGAGGCCATCTCAAAAAAAAAAAAAAAAAAAAGAAAAAAAGTGACTGCTTCAAGTCAAAGGTATTAGAGACTGGAAGGTTTCTGGTGCATAGTAGGAACTGGGAGGAGGATAAAGATCAGTTCCAGGCCAGGCGCTGTGGCTGTAATCCCAGCACTTTGGGAGGCCGAAGCAGGAGGATCGCCTGAGCTCAGGAGTTCGAGACCAGCCTGGTCAACATGGTGAAACCCCATCTCTACTAAAAATACAAAAATTAGCCGTACATGGTGACAGGCACCTGTAGTCTCAGCTACTCAGGAGGCTGAGGCAGGAGAATTGCTTGAACCCAGGAGCAGAGATTGCAGTGAGCTGAGATTGCGCCATCGTACTCCCACCTGAGGGAAAGAGCAGAGACTCTGTCTCAAAAACAAAAACACAGCTCCAATTGCAGGCTGCTCATCAAGGGCAGGGAATTGCACTTATTCTCCTCCAGCCCCTTCCCTTACCCAGGTCCAAGCAGCCTCCTTTGTCTCCAACCCCAGGGCTCTTGCTCCAGGCCGTCCTGAGGTTGGAGGCGAGGTCGGTGACCTGGCCCCGCCCCCAGACCTTCCCACAGCTTCAGGTTCAGGAAAAGGCACATGAAGTTTGGTATAAACAAGGACACAACTTCACGGAGTTTCTCACTGATTTAAATATTGTAGTCTTTAGAGAATGGGTCACATGACTCAGGAACTGCCAGCAGCCTGTTTTCACCCAGCGGCTTCCTGGTTTACCCCCTTTAGGAGACCATTAATGGAAACTGAGAATCTGTCTCACATGTTTTTTTTTTTTTTTTTTTTTTTTTTTTAAGCAGCACAGTTTTAGGAACGATTCTTCCCAAGGAAATTGTTTGTGAGCTCCAGTCTAACTGGGCCACTTTGTGGGAAGGGGAGCAGCCTGGTGGCCTTTGGGAGGTGAGGGGGAGACAGAACAGCTCAGCCAGCCCAGACCTCCACTTGTCCTCCCTCCCTCCTCCCACCCCTGCCAATTAAGATCAGTCACCAGGGGCAAGAACCTCCTAGATCAGAAGCGACCCAGGAACCAGGCTTCAGAACCCCGATCTTCATTAATATTTTCTAAACTTGCCTAATCATAGAACTGAGCTATAATTCTTTAAAAACAAAACAAAACAAAAAACCACACACATACAAAACAGAGACAAGGGTCTCATGTTGCTCAGGCTGGTATGGAACTCTTGGCCTCAAGCCATCCTCCCACCCTGGCCTCCCAAAATGCTGGGTGCCTGAGCCACCGAACCCAGCCCTGGGCTGGAATTCTTAATCCCGCTCCCGCTGCTTTTTGCAGGCCTCACTTCTGACCCACTGGGTCTGTTTCCGGGAGAGAGCCTCTTTCCCTGTGTTCCAGGCAAACGCCCCCCAGTAACAACTCCCATTTCCAATGAGCTTAATCTGTGCCAGGCAGTGTTAAGTGTCCTCTGACTCATGTTATCCTCACAATGAACCTGGAAGTTAAAAAACTTGCCCAAGAGGACACAGTTATAAGGATGGAGCCGGAAGTCTAATCTGGGTATGACTGTAGAGACCACAAACTAGGAGGCAGTGGCTTCTCAGGCAGAAACAGGAAGATTCTAAGCCGAGAATAAGGACTAGAGGACCTGGGTGGCAGTTCAAAGGTGAGTGTTTCCTACAAGCTGAGCCAGCGCCCAGCCTCTGCTCCCCCACAACCTGGGAAGCCGGCACCCAAGATAACCTGAGCACCCCGTTACCTTGGAGCCCTGAGGCTGTCTCTGGGCCACCCACTCAAGGTGGCCCCCCTACCTGCTCAAGGCTACAGAGGGCTGTCTTGCCCAAACAGCCACACCCCCGGGCCAACCCAGTGCTGTGTGCCAAGGGAGTTTCTGAGAGAGCCACCTGATACCCCACGTGACAGCCGGCCTTTCCCCCATCACCCAGGGGCCACCCAGGCAGAGAGCTGAGAACACAGGGGCCATGAGCCTCGCTATCACCCCCACCCCCAAGTGCTTCACTCCCAAGGGACAGCTCTAAGCTCCCCAGAATCTCAGGCTGGTGGGTCCAGCTGAGCATCCTAGTTTTCACTTTCTCCTCCCAAAAAGGAAAGAACCTTGGCCACTAAATTCTACACCTTCTGGAAATCACTCTAATGACTTCCTGAATGATTGACGGAGGCCAACAGTTGGCCCAGCCCTGCGTGGAGCAGAAACAAACCTTATCTGTCATAGTTAAGGGCCCTGAATGGGGACAGGTCACATTCTTGGAGCTCAAGGTGACAGGTCAGAGCCCAGGTCCCAGGACAGTGCAGGCAAGTAGAGCAAGCACCGATCTAGCACTAAGATGGGGTCTCAATGACCCTGTAAGGTCCCCCACCTGATTTCCCATGTGGGACCCTGAAGTCAGAGAGGGGCCCGAGAGTTGCAGGGGGCTGGGGGATGGTGTTGGTGAGTTAATCTGCCTTTACTTCAAAACCCAGAAAACCCCAACTATTGGAAAGTGAAACCTCCCAAAGCAAAGCCACCGCCCATCCTCCTTCCCCGCTCTGATTCAGACATGTTTTCCCTGCCCCAGCAGAAGCAAGGCCCTTGAAAGCAAGACAGGAATAAAGAGAGCCTCGAGGGATACAAAGATCTGCCCCTGATTTGGGGTTTGGGGGGCTAGTACAATGTACTCACATCTAGAAGTGCAGCTAGCTGCAACCAACGCCTCGGATGGGGAACTCTCACCCAGCCTACGGGATCACTTCCCAGCAGGGCAAGGCAGGCCAGGCCCAGGGGTGGGGCTTGGGAGTTAAAGAGCCCGTGCAGCTGGTTCTCATTTTATCCTCCGGGCTGCCTCTGCTGCAGCTGAGGGCGCACTGCTCCCTGCGTGCTCATGAGTTTCTGCCTCGGAGCCAGCTGCCTGCACTGGAGTGGGACTGGGAGGGGTTGGAGGGCCCGAGATGGGGCAGGTGCGCCTCTGCCCATCTGGCATTCATTTTCCAATCTGGGTGAATACAATTCTGCCTCTCCCTTGAAGTGGGGCCTAAATGTTGAGCTCCAGCTACAGCCCCTCCTTTTAAGAGATGATAGCTCTGGATCTTTTATTTCAGACTCAGAAAATTCAGTCCAGGTCTCCGAATAGGTGTTCCATAGAAAACACACACACACACATGCTCACACACTCTCTCTACAGGTGTTCAATAGAAAACACACACACACACACACTCACACTCTCTCTTCCTCTTTCCTGCAATGTGCTGTTTGGGAGCTTGAGGTTTCTCTCTTCTTCCCAAGTTTCTCAGTGCCTGGGCTGGGGAAGGAGGGCCCAAGCCCCAGCAGGTACAGACACTGCAGCCTAGAGGCAGGAGCAGTGGGAGTCAGTACTTCCGCTGCCGAGGGAAGAGACTACTCCCGGAGGATCGGAGTGGGGGGCTGGCAGGGCTGGGGTCTTCCGAGTCCAGGCTGAAGAGGTCTCTCCCAGTACGAAGGATCTGCTCCTCCAGCTTCTTGTGTCTCTTCATGTCCGACAGCACTTTGTCCAGGCGGGCCTCCCGTTTCTGGCTCCGGGCTGAGCTTCCTGGAGAAGGGGAAGGTAAGATACGTGGAACAGATGGAGGTGGTGTGCACCACACCTGCCTGGACTTCACTCATCACTTGGGGAGTTGGTTAAACATGCAGGTCCCCAGGCCTCTGTCTTGGAGGACCTGAGGTTCAGGGTTGGACCTCAGAGAGAGTGAGCAGCAAAGATCCTGAATGACAGGAAGGCACAGGTAATGTGAAGACCAGGGAGACACCAGACAGGCGAATGGCAAGGGTAAAGGCCCTAGGACAAGAACAGAATTCTGTTCAAAGAAGAGTGCAGGCCGGGCATGGTGGCTCACGCTTGTTAATGCCAGCACTTTGGGAGGCCAAGGTGGACGAATCACGAGATCAGGAGTTTGAGACCAGCCTGGCCAACACAAAAAATAGCTGGGCGTGGTGGTGGGCGCCCGTAATCCCAGCTACTCGGGAGGCTGAGGCAGGAGAATTGTTTGAACCCGGGAGGTGGAGGTTGCAATGAGACGAGATCGCGCTACTGCATTCCAGCCTTGGTGACAGAGCTAGACTCCATCTCCAAAAAAAGAAAAAAAAAGTGCAGAGAACTGGAGGTGGCGGGAGAAGCGCTTGGATTCTCCTTTGACATGCTCTTCCCTGGCAAGAGGAATCCCTTGGAAAATTTTAAGTCCAAAAGTGACATGAGGCCGGGCACGGTGGCTCACGCCTGTAATCCCAGCACTTTGGGAGGCTGAGGCGGGCAGATCACGAGGTCAGGAGATCGAGACCATCCTGGCTAACATGGTGAAACCCTGTCTCTACTAAAAATACAAAAAATTAGCCGGGCCT